AAAGGGACAGTGTAAGACAATTACTAGCTCAATTCTCGAGCATTTGGTGAACTCAGACCACGTAGCTCCACCACAGTCATCGTCTTTCAAGATCATCTACAAAGTGAAAACAAATGGTACGAAGGGCGTCAGGTTTCGGCTTTTGTGTATGGTGGAGGCGCTGGTAATTCGCCAATACAACCCTGGACTCTGTGTTTACAGAAAAAGTTTATCCAGTCTCTTATTCTACCTTGGTCTTAACCTCTTCACTAATCGTTCCCTGTAAAAAATTTTTCTTTTTTCTTTTCTTTTTTAGTTTTACTTTTAGTTTGTTTTTGCTTTAGTAATTAATTCACTATTATCAATCTCATATGCTCCTTTTGTACATTTCACACCCTCTTCACGCTTGTTAAATTGATACTCAAATACCACCTTTATTCTCACTCAATAGCAATTTTAACCTTATGAAATTTCTAACTTTGCACTAGCGTTGTATACCACGTAATTCACAACTTTTAATTTTCCTTTCTGAAGCCACTTATGATTAATTATATCAATGATGTCACACACACACACCCATTACTCAATAATAGACCACTATACATTTTTCTAAGTATAAATACGACTGTTCAGCCTCCGATGCGATGATTTCGTCGATAAAGAAACATTTTCTTCGCTGAATCTGTCTTTTATTTTCTTGATGACTCAATGGGTATCTTATAGGGTAAATTATTCTACCTAATTCGACCGGTAGGGTTCTTTAATCTACAGAGCTTGTCCCTGAATGAATTCGCAGGTTTAAATGCCACATTAATTCCTCTCTTATTAAGAATCTTAAGTAGGATTTCAGTTGTCTCTTCCTCATATGGTAAAACTATAGATTCCTCAAAGTTCTTTCTTATTTAGGTTATCGTCAATAATTCCAGTAATACTTCTTCTTTTCTTATCTAGGACGCATCGTTTCTTAGCTACAGGAAGTCGGAATGGATGAAGACGTCAAACCTGACCAGTTAGTATCAGAAAGGCAAGATACGTCTTCCAGAATTTCAAACCAGTTTGTAAATCTTCTACACTCATCCAGCCGTTCAACAGAAATGTGAATTAGGTCAGTTAGTGTTTCTATACGGGTCAGAAACTTGCATTGTGTATTAGATGGTTGGAGGTAATCGGCCACAGGAAGCCTTGGCTGACCGCGGTTTCGTGCCAGTTGTCACTCACCAGTCAGTCAGAAAGGCTTATCTGCAACCACATTGAAAGAACAATTCATGTTCCTTCTGAGATTTGAACCCGCGTCACCCAGTGCTGCATGCGCAGTCAGAGACGTGACCACCACTGGGCTATTCGGGCTGGCTTGCGATTAACCTCCTGTAGGACTGTAGTGGATATTTTCATTTGACACTAGTAACTGATGTGATGTGTCTAGTCCTCTGATTGGTGCAGACTGAATTCTATCAATCAGGTTTGTCTGTCTGTCTGGATTCAACACAGAACTTGGCACCGAAGTGCAGCAGTTCGAGTTGCCACCTTCCAAATAGCACACAGAGGTAGACAAACTCTATTGATTCTCTTCATTCAAGAGTGAAACAGAATGGGTAATGGTAGAAAGGAATATGAAAGATTACAGAGATTGAATACATCTGCGCCATTGACAACGATTTTGAGCCATGTCACCTATTGTCTCCAGCCATTGATTCCTAGAGTCCCGAGGGCCCCAACCCGGGAGTCTGCATCGCCCTACCTGACCGACTCAGTTTAACTGTCAAGGATTTATGTCATGGATTGATGAGGCCATGTTTTTGTTTGGCCACCACTGGCTCTTTTCCAACCTTCAATTATATCAGCTAGGTTTGTGATGGTTAGAGGTAATCGGCAGGAAGCCATCTAATACCATCAAATCAATGTGCACCGTGATGGCGAGCTACCTAGAATGGTGGCCATATCACAAACCTGACTGATAGAATTCAGTCTGCACCAATCAGAGGGCTAGACACATCACACTAGTTACTAGTGTCAAATCAAAAAACAAAAAAAATTGCATTGTGTGTCACGGAAAGGATTTCCAACAAGTTACAGGCTTTTACCAACAACTGTAACCTTCCCCGGCTCCATACTGAAGATCAGATGGCCAAACTGCCTGAAAGAATTAGCACCCAGGAACTCTAGCTGACAACAGATTAATGAAGAGCCGATTGTTCAACAAATATGTGGAAGAAAGTGGAGATGGGTGTATTGGGCATACGTTGAGGAGGCCGTCGAATGAAATCGCGCGCAATGCAGGCCATCATTCGAGTAGAATCCCAATCTAGAGCGACAAGAAGGTAGTCAGTAAGACGGTGACATGGAGGAGACCGTTTAAGGAGGAGGAGGAGATGAGAGATTATGGGTAATCGTGGAGCCAAGTGAAGAGGATGGTAGAAAGTAGAACAAAGTGGAGATGTAATGTTGAAGCCCTATGTTTGACTCGGAACCCAATGGAATATTAATAATAATGATAATAAGCAATTTTATTTTCTTCTGAACTTTCTAATGAATTTTGTGGGGGGGGGATATTTACTTAGCACCAACACTTCTCCTTCTATACGTTTCATTTCATCAATTAAGATTTTCGATGTACTGCTTAGAGTTTTTGCTCGGTTTTTGTCATAAATTTAATTACGCCCTGCCTTTACAGATAACGCGTGAGATGAATTAGAGTCTAACTGTCTATCCGATTAGAGTGCATAGTTTATCGTCTCCTGTTCATTTTATTTTACAATCTCACATAGCTGATTCTTTATTCATTTCCTCACTTAAATGTAAATTTAATCCCCTCTACGACTGAGTTTACGTGTGTGTGTGTGTGAAGAAACTAGAGTGTTATGTACTCATCGCTAAATTATTGTTATGGTCTGGTCGAGAAACTAATAGTCCTGACGCGAGAAGGCGGAAATCAGAAGACCACTAGGTTCGCGATGATACTTCTATTGTCCAAACACAAGGAGACGAAAATAAATATGGTCTCACACCAAAGTGGTAAGTAAGTAAAGTAAAGTCACAAGATTGTGAATGTGAAATATATATGAATGTTCCAGACAAAGCGTGGGAATAAATCATTAGACAGTCTTAACATGGATGGCTAATTATAATGAAGTGTCGATCCAAATATACATAGCGAATATAGCAGACATGTCAACAACCACCATATATGGATATATGTCACCAAGCAACGGACTGTCAACAACACTCATATTATATATAATATAATATAAGGAGAATATACATTATTAAAGGAGACAAGTTCACACAAGTGAAATGGTCACAGACTAACCGAGCAAACAGAAAGAGAGACCAACATGCACACACACACATAAATATATATATGTGGATACATATCATAGAGATATGTTCCCTTTTTAACACCACGGAAGTATCCTCCAGATATCTCCATGGCAACTTTCAGGTAGGACTGAATATCTTAAGAGGCATATTTTCCCAACTATCCATAATGACATCATCTGCTATGATCGAGGATATTGGTAATCCCGCTGCTACCTCCTTCTGTTTGTCTATACATTCTAAATTCTTCTTCTTTGCTTTCTGTTTTCAACGTGGAACTTTGCACAGATATGTGCAGCAGTTCAAGTTGCTATACCTCTAACATCACATAACGCAAGAGAGGAAAGAAAAAGAAGTGCATAATAGGGATAGTAAACAGAGATATGAGGCGAAAAGAATACTAATTTCGAGGAAGAATATAGTTTCATTGAAAATTACAAGCCACAAGGAGTGCATGCATCTGAGACAGCTATTGAGCCATATCACCGATTGTCTCCAGCCATTGGTGTTTACCGTCCCGAGGACCTCAACCAGGAAGTCTACACCTTCCTACGTGACTTAAACTAACCGTTGTGGATTTCGTTGACTGATGAAATCATGTTTTGGTTTCACCACTACTGGCTCTTTTCTAAACTGACCTTATGTCAGCTAACACTGCCCATTATCGAGGAAGGCGATGGCTAGGCATGCATGAGTAACACATGCCCTAACCATCTCTCTCTCTCAATCGATGTAACTTCACAGCCTCGTCGATTGATTTGCTCACCTTACCCAACACTCGATTGAAGCCTCACTTCAATATTGCTCATCTTATTATACCAACTCACACGGGAGATAGAACGCAGGCGCCTATGATCAAAGACAACTAACGGGCCTTTACATGTCTTCCACTCTCAATGGCCAGGTCTCACAGCCATAGTGGAGGACAGAGCGGACTGCTGAGCAGTACACACGCCCTTCGGTCGACAGCCAGGTAGCCGTATATCACATCTACGCCAGAGACGGCGTAAACTGGCATATGAGAAACTAGCCCTCTGTATCCGTTCCGAGACTTCGTCAGCGATCAACCCGTTGGCGCTGGCTGATGCAACTTCCTAAATAAGTGAAGTGGTCAACGCGTTCTACCACTTCATTTCGTATTTCTATGCTAGGAGTCAGTAGAGGTGAGACATAATTGAAAGCCTAAAATAGTTTCTTCAGCGGATAGCTATGAATAAATCATGGATCAGTAGTTAGTTCTCTTTAACGACTTCCAAAGTCTAACCCATGTATCCCCATTACATTCCTACAGGAACTTGATCGTGCCATGAATAGATAAGTGGTAGCACTGTAGCTGTAGCACTGGTTAACACGGGTTCGAATCGCAGTTTCGTCAATAGTGAGGATACACACCTACTTGACCATCGTCAACAAGCATGGAACCTAAGCTAAAATACGATTGCCTCCGACTAACTAACTAACATCAATTACTATATGTTTACACAGTAAATTCACATGGAAGAAAGAAGAACACGTGAAATTATCTTTAGAAGTATTTATCAAGGGTACAACAAGTAAGCTAAATGAAAACAGAATTTCACTATTATCATCAGCTGCACACAAAACTGATATATCATCGGATGACAATCAGGGAGACATTTGAGACTGCCATCGTCATTAAGGTGAAAATCTGTAAAAAGTTAGCTTGAAATGCTGTCGCCGCTTGATTACTTCTTTTCCAACAGCTCCAAAATATCTCCTTGGATATCCTAAAATGTAGAATTATTAAAGAGTATTGTTGTTGTTATTGTTATGATTAATGGAAAACACTGAGCGTTAAAAAGTCATCTGTTCAAGACAGCTGTGAATAATTTAGAAAATAAGTAAATAAATTAACATTGACTTGATGATATTAGATGGTTGGAGGTAATCGGCAGGAAGCCTTGGACCTGTGTCAAATCAAATTATCCACTACAGTCCTACAGGAGGTCAATCGCGAGCCAGCCCGAATAGCTCAGTGGTGGTCATGTATCTGACTGTATGCAGCACTGGGTAACGCGGGTTCAAATCTCAGAAGGGACATGAATTGTTCCTTCAATGTGGTTGCAGATACGCCTTTCTGACTGACTGGTGAGTGACAACTAGCACGAAACCGCGGTCAGTCAAGGCTTCCTGTGGCCGGTTGACTCCAACCATCTAATATCATCAAATTAATGTGCACCGTGATGGCGAGCTACCTAGAGTGGTGGCCATATCACAAACCTAACTGATAGAATTCAGTCTGCACCAATCAGAGGACTGGAAACATCACAGTAGTTACTAGTGTCAAATCAAAATAAATAAACAACTAGAAAAGTAGGTTAAATGATTTAAAAATAACTCAGAAGTGGTGAAAGCAAAACTTCTCTAAGATATGACAAAAACACCTGAGTTACAGTGGATTCAGAGTATTTAAGGTGACTTGTTATTATCTTTCAGACATAATATATCACTGAAGCTGATGAGTTAAATTAGTACAGCACTGCATCTAATCTGTATGAACGACATTTCTACATGCGTTTTTGATAATCATTTAATTGGATATATAAGGCGTTGACGAGTGAAATCGAATATCTAATGTTGTAGAATGTATAAAAACAAAATCCAATGATTGTTAATCTGTTATCATAAAACAATTTTATGAATGTGAATTATACATTACTTAATTGCTGAAACATTTTATGGCGTGAATTTACAAATAGAAAAAAAACATTGCGTAGATACACACTTCGAGAGATAACTGATCTTTGGCGTTATTGCCTGAACAGCTTATTAAGATTTCTCAAATCTCAACTAAAACCCTAAAGTTACTTGCAAACTTCGCTTATTCATCTACTGTAGAGGAGAATGGTGGTCAGGAGGGCTTTGTGTGTTTTTGGAGGTGTGTGTGTGTGTGGGCAGTTGTTACTTCCTGTCTGTCTACATCGTAGAATTAGTGTTGCGTGACCGCTGAGCCCAGGGGACAACTGCTTGAGGCCGGTTAAACACGGTCTGTCTGAACTGGCTCTAAGACTGGGTTCCGTCTTAGTAACTCACCGCAGGTGACGGACCACTATAGGGTAGGTCGGGATACACATTCTTTGGGATCGACCTTTTCTAACCCCCTCTTTCCAGGGTGGACAGACAGTATATTTGGTATGCTGGTCATCTGAAGAAAACATTCCTGTTCCCCAGCAGTACAACTACGCGCACAGACCCCGAGCATTGCGTAGAAAATCTTACACTAAGCTGGTAACTGCTTTTAGTCTAATCGCTAACCTAACAATCTCCCTGGAATCGTAGAACCTGCAGGAACGTTAGTTCCAGCTAGTGGAGTTTGTTGGTTCATTGAGATATGCAATTCTGACTACCACTTCAAGGTAGTAGCGATCGGTCGAGTCATTCACTGTTGGCGACTCATCTAGATAAAACGCTAAATTTTATGAAAAAGTGACAACCTTTCATCAGACTAAGGCATTCCTCAGTAAGCAACACCAAATTCCAACTGAGATATTCTGGAATCTTTGAATAGACATTTTATTCATAACATTTCATTCAACACCATGAGTAAGTGCATGAGAAATGAAATGCTCACTCAACTTGGCTATAGGTTATTCTCTATCCACATTATAATTGGACTCTCCAAATGTCGTTTCGAAACAACGGTGCCGTATTCTACAGGAGGACAAGGACACTAGTGAACTGATCATTTTTTGTACTAGTGACTTATTAAAAAGGAAGAGACTATAAGACTTAACAGTTACACCAGTCAACTCCACAAGAATTAGAGTAAGTATCTGTTTACCTTTACCCATATTATTACGTTTATGGAAGATATATAGACGACACTCTCGCTGTGATAACAACGTAATTCTTCATGACGTATTCTTTGCATTCAACAACTCCCATCCTTCTTACAATTCAACGTAGAAAAGGAAACTGAACTAAGCATTCCCTTTCTTGATGTGTGCCTTAGTAGACACAATGAAGGATGTCTTAAAAGATCCATCCACCGGAAATGTAAGTGGAATGGACAACTAATTTTTATAGTTCAGTGCTTATGTCTAGGAAGAGGAATTTAATTGACTCTCTTCGCTTTAGGATAAGAAGCATTTAGAGTTCTGATTGCGTTCACTCAGAACTTGACTTCATATAAGCCCCTCTCGCATAAAACGGTTACCCAAACCGATTTATTCACAGAACCACGAATAATAACCAGACCAAATTGATCATTGACTAACTTCCTAAGAAAACGATTTACATAAATTTGGAATTTAATGGTGATCTGGCTTCAGATATGCTCAAAACGCGTCCCTCTAAATCAGTCATTACATCAAAATTACAACTGCCGTTCACCAACTGTAATTTGTTCTCCATCTCTGAAAACATAAGTTCCCTAATCTGACCGCCTCTATGTGCATCTGTCAGATCACCTGGTCTTGTGGATCAAGGTACATTGACCGTAGCCAGAGAACGCCACTTTTCACACGGATATGAGAACATATTCCAGCAGCATGGTTTTCCAAGACAGAAAGAAAGGATGTGCGAAGCTCTATTCTAGAACACCTGATCGACCAACCCTGACCATGATTTTAACATCATCTACAGAATCCGTGCTAACCTTTCAACCGAGATTTTTTCGTTATAGACTTCTAAATTTCTACGGGAATATGAAATATAGTGACTCAATTTGATGAACAAGACTACGTGTTAGCATCCTGACAGTAATATTGAGGTCTACACTAAAATGTAAGAATACACTGCTCACAAAACAATTAATAAAATCCTGAAGTGAATTTAAAAACCCTACAGTTAACCCTTATTATAGTCTATTTATTTAAAGCATACGCCAAAAGGCAACACATAATGTTACTCATTAACTTACAAGTGGAGCAGTTGTAGGAGAATATCGTTTAACTGGTTGACCCTCACGATCTACTAAAAATTTCGTGAAGTTCCATTTAATAGAACTGAAAATGTTGGGAAATTGAGAGAAAAAGTTCACTTACCTCGTAAGTGTACCTTCAAGTCTATTTTTTAAGAATTTAAAGAGGGGATGAGCATTAGGCCCGTTCACATTGATTTTTGAAAACATATCAAACTCAACACCATACTTTTCAGTTACAAACTTTTTAATTTCAGCTTCAGGCCATGGTTCCTAAAATTTTATATTGATATTAGTAAGAGACAGTATACCTGACTACCGAATTGATTACATGGGAAGGCTAAAATACGCAGACCTTTGCCAACCAGTTTAGTGTGCATCATCTGGAGTTGGCGATAATTCTTGTCAGTTGCACCTCACTTACAAGCAACGTTGACTATGAGGCATACATGACCACTATATGTGAATATTACCGTATAATTTCAATTACGATTGACATACCGGTATTTTTCTAGAGGAACTTCAATACCATTAATATCTTTGGCAGAGAAGTCGTATATCGAATTTGTAGAACCACTAGAAGACTAAGTATATGAGTTAATGTATACAAGGAACTCACCATTTTGAAGGAATTACAAATAGGACTAAACGCACGAAATATATATAATGCACTGGTTAAGGTCATTCTTCAGAATTAACCTTGACGGAAATTATAACAAACAATCCAATATCTAATATCGTTTTAACGATCTAGTATAAACCAATTTGATTTCTTTGTGCTCGCTTTTTGATTGTAAGGTATAGGTCCCTGATCTTCGGTAAACTTCTGCGTAGCTCGTCCCGCCACTCGACTGTCGTAGCTTTGGTTGACTCCAAAGGGAGTAGTGCTGGCATTAATCAAATGTGGTTTGTAGTATGAGGTGTGTTAAGACTGATACTACTGTGAATGAAGTTGATCCTTAATATTTCATTCTGTTTTATGCAAAAGAGTCACTGTTAGCATATTTATGGAATTGTGAAAGACAATTTTCGATTTGGTTAGAGGATTCCATAATTAGCTGATATTGGTTAGAGAACCATTGGAAATTCAGAAAGTACTGGACAGTTATTTCATATGTCCTAGTTTCGGACTCATCGGAAGTACACACCCACCTCCAGAGTTTGGACCCATAGCCTTCTAGTGACCAAACGAGCTTGTAGACTATTCAGTCACTAGGACCCAACTCATTTGACAACATATGGATTCTAACTTCTACGATTTCGTGATTTTAGTGCGACCACGCCGGTCATTGTCCTCCATGGTGAGCAGCGATTCTGATGAGAGAAATTTTGTTTGTATTTTGTTGACTAAAAGTGAGTCATACGTAACATTGATGTATGCGATGCCTTTCTTCTGGCTAAATACGGTTTTTCGTGCAGGTGCATCCTTCTTTACTGATGAGCTTTGGTAATCCTTTTGACTCCCATGATCTCACCGCCGGTATTTTGAAGCTTTTATAGTTTTTCGACTGAATAAAATGGGAAAGATCTCTTCCGCTCACGACAGCCTGTCGACGGCCGTCATTTTGAGTGCCCGCGAGTGAGAGAAACAAGTGACTTACTAGCTTGTGATTGGTCTGTTTGATATCACCTAGAGAGCGAAAACTAGCTAAGCTCAACTCAGTCGTGGATCTCGCTATCAGATACTCTAGTAACCTAACGTTCGCTGAACAGACTGATTATGCCAGACGTAAAACACGAAGGCTGATAGGATGCATAACACGCAAATTCTTTCGTTGTGAAACTAGGGTTTTATTGTACAAAGTATGTGTCCAACCCATCTTAGAATACTGCCCGTTTATTCTTAGCGGACTCAGACAAAATGACAAGCTTAAATTAGAGGGAGTACAACGGCAGTTTACCTCAAGAACTCTTGGTTTAGAAAGTGGTCTGGAATACTATGAGCGATGCGAAAGACTAAGATTAGAACCCCTCTGGAAAAGACGCCTTAAGCTAAACCTTATCTTTTACTACAAGCTAACTAATCTTCTCTTGCATTCCACCGAACCAATAACTAAATCTACCACTGTCATCAGTTACAATCTTAGAAATCATCACAACCTAGCTGCTATGGAGCACTGTCAGACTTACGTGCGGTACAACTTCTTCTTAAATAAGTTTTCAGTCATTTGGAATAGACTACCAGCTAATGTACGCGATGCAAACACACTTCCAGTGTTCATCTCCTCAGTCACCAGACTGCTCAAAGATGACAATGCACTTTCGCCTCTGACTCTTACACCTTCTTTTTCACCCTGCATAGATATTTTAAGTTCTTTAAACGTATAGTTACAACAAACTACAATTATAAATTTTAATATTATTGGAACTAGATGATAAACAATTCTACACAGGACAGTAATATTAGTTCACACATAATATAAAAGTTAGCATAACGGGACTAGTTAGTTAGTGAACAAAAATAACCATAGTTACTAGACAGAATATATATGCGTGTATTTATTAATCACTCCTTAAGCACTCCTCTTGCTTTCTTTTGCTTTGCTGTTGTTTGTCTTCTTTTTTCTCTCACCATTTTAGCTTCCATTTGACTTTTTGAATGAGAATGAATAATGTGGATATTTGACTATTCACAATGACAAATGATCTGCAAACATTATTGGTCCCGTATCTTTCAGTTGCCTAGTTAATAACGAATTAACTTTCCCCACGACGCAACCCGGATTACATTTGTGGAATATACTCTTATACCAATGGAAAAGTATCTATTTGTAATACAACGTCACGATTGTAGCTTATAACATAACTGATCGTATCTGTAAAAATAGCTTTCTTATTACCCAATTTGGATATAAATCAAAAATGAGATTCGGATTTGTGCACACCCAAGTTATATTGTGGAATTACTTCAAGCTCTATTTTTTCCCAAGTATTTGTAATTCATCCAAAACTTACTTGGGTTTTTTTGTTAATGCGAAGTTAATATTCCTATATTTCATGACGTGCTCCATTGAATGACTGGTTATCATATTGTTCTCACAGACCTAAGATAAAAACGCCAGCAACCATGTAACTTAACCATAAACCAAATTTATGAAATTTATATAATGATTATCCATGCCTGTATATTTGGTGTGTCCTACACAAGTAGGAAAAAATGTGTATTTTATTAAAACATTATTATTAATTGTGATTGTTAATCGTATATGTAATTTATCATATTGATGATGCCTGTAAACTGGCGTCTTTCATGTACAAAATGAGAATATACTATTATTATTATTATCATATTATGTGCATTTCATGTCATCCGGGCCTTCAGTAACAAAGTAAGCGACGTTACTAATGACCGAACGTCCTTGAGTTCCGTGATCCTAATTGTAAAAAGATGTTTGAAGAGATGGTGTACACAACGAGTAACGGCAGGTAATTAAGTGATTGTGTTAACACATCTCTAGGTTTAGTGAGCTAATGAATTTATTGTGGTTGAAGTACCCTGCAGCCATGTCGTACATGAATAACAACTTATGGAGTTGTCGTGATATGTGGGCAGCCTGTTATATGAAAGACATTGTCACTCTTGGCAACAAAACGAATAACAGAGTTGAGTGTTGCCATAAACACCTGAAGACACATCTAAGCAAGTGGTTCCCCTTAGAATTGAGCATTCGCGAGATATGGAAGTGTTCCGTAGAGTCATCCAGAAGAAAGGCTATAGAAGGAAATCGAAACCTCCATTACTACATTCATTTTAACGTAAGTCCAATAGTTGTGACTTGAAAATTTTAGGTGGACGAAGGCCTTTCCAGCATTTGGAGGCAGCTTGCAAGCGATGCTGCCTACTCACTTTACAAAAGCATCAGGAGGCATCCGGAAATGAAGGTCACCGATTACACAAAGCATACGTAGTATGCGAAGAAGGTGAAAGGTACTTCGTTGTGGACAAACATGACTGCAGCTGCGCATGTTTTCAAAACAAAAATATGCTTTTGCCATGCTGTCATCTTGTTCATACCAAATGTCATTTATATACACGTCTGGGTAAGTTCATATAGGCCTACAGTTATCTTGTAAAAGATGTGTTTAGACATAGCACTAGGTGGTTACGATATAACAACCACACTATCATTCAACCGCAATCGACAACAGCGGTGGACTTGGACATGGAGATGCTCATACAAGGAATAATATATCAGATCAGAAACCTTCAAGAGACGCATCCTAGGATATGTAGAAGTGCGTTTCTTTACGTATGCAATTATCTGCTTGAAACTGGTGGACAGGCGGATGATCAGGCATCTACATCGTCAGACTTGGACTGATCTATGTACATATTTTTAAAGATAATCGTAAATAAATTTTCCAATAATAAAACTCTTGTTCACTCTAAATTACGGAAATTGTTGTCGAAACGTTTAAACGATTAGATTTTAACGTACTAGCCTTGTGTGACTATGAATCCAAAGTCCGTCAATAGGTTCCTACTAAGACGAAATATAACTCTAAGCGCTTATAGTCTCAGTGTCTTCTTTTAACTGTGGACGTAGTAAATTCATGACGTTGCGACATAATCGTTTTATCAATAAGCCTCCACGAATATCTAGTTTTACTTGGCATTTCTAAGATAACGTCAAATACTACGTACCTCACGACTTACGCAAAGGCTAGAAATCGGCTGGACCTATCCGGCATGTTGATTAAATTTCGCTCGGTAAATTTTTTTGTCAATAATTTTCAATAAAATTTTGGTATTTGTTTTCTGAATCGATAGGAATTCTCATTTCCTGGTTGGTTATGTTGGTGTCCGCGTCATGTAATCTTACTGCGATACACTCCAAGCGTATGGGTTGTAACGATTGGTTTTCCATGCTGAGTGAGTTAAAACATCGGTATAATGAAAAAGATGGGGTGGTTGGAGAGTAGTGTCGTATACACAAATAGTTTACTTCTTTTAGAAGCTGCAGCTTTCGACATAATATCATTCAATGAAGACCACGTCTAAATGTGGCTATTTTCGTGTGAAGAACAGTACTATTTGGCAAAAGAATGCTATCAATACATGGGAATCATCTACAAATACCAACAGAACCCCCTATGGAAACAGAAGTTATGATGTAGATGTGTGTATGTGTGTATGTCTAGGTTGCATTATATTTCATTGTTATCCTTGTAGTGCACATTGTACCTTTGAACTTTTGTTTAAACTGACTCACCCACGGTGATCCACGTTTTACCTTTTGACTTGTGAGTCTTCCGTACGTTCATAGGTTCGCTCTCTTGTTGTGCTCTCTTTCTGCACACTCTCCGAGCCTACCTCCAGCAACGTCTGCAGATAAGTTGTACGACTTCTTTATTTATTGAATTTTATATTTCGTTGAATAAAATATAATTCTCCCAGGTACTCTTGTCACATCAAGTCTTTTTACAACGATACAGTTCGTCAGTATTTGCGCGTCGAGTAGTGTACTGCTAAGCTTAGCAGGTCGCAAAACGGTGAAGAAGTTTGTAAGGGTGTTTAGAGTATAGGTCCACTCTAAGCCGTAGTAGAACTCTTACAAGTGGTGAGCCCGTTTTCACCGTTTTCCGCTATAGTAGCTTAACGTGTTAACGATTCTTTTTACG